TGGCAACGTGTTCCGCGCGTAACCATTAAAATTCTTGCTAGTGGGAGACGGTATTATGTACGTTATTTAACTTGAATTCATATATCATTCAATGAAAGTGTACTGCTTTCAGGTTCTTCGGTTCGATTGACGGCATTACGGGTAGTATTACGGATTCTGATCGTCAATCTTTCTGTAGACGCTACTATTACCATTCTGATTAAAGTACCTAAACAGATTTTTCTACTAGTTCTCTTCGTGTCATCACGGCATCAGTAATCAACTACTTTGGAATCATTAACCCCTTTCGATGATACAGTAACTGCTAAGGTGAATACATTTGTCGTTATTTGCCTTGCCTGAAATTTCGCCCCACTCTTCATAGCGCGGACACCGTCTATGAACTAGTGCAGGACATGCCTAATATGAATATAATTTTTAACAATATGACCGTGTTTTGCACAAATCCCAATTTCGCACCGCATTTTTTGAGACAACCGATGCAACGTCTTCGATATGGAATCACAGAAATGGCGAATTGATTGTTAAAAGCACTTCCCGTGGCCTTGAAGACCGTCTTCATTCACATAATAAAGCACTGGTTGACTGAACACACTACGCTTATTTTTCGTTGAACAAAACAGCACAGCTGCCATAAATTTATTCTCTGTCCCAGAGAAAGTATGAACGACAATAAGGGATCATAGCAAGTTCGAACGCAATAGGATTTTCTCTCAAACTAAATACCGGTGACGATCCTTGAGCCAACTGCTAATGAAGCAATATTACTGAAAAAGGGAGGCAAAATTTCATCTGCTTTCAAGGAATATTAGATTAGGAATAAGACATTCTGACTATAAACCCTAAACCTAGATGAAGGGTCAGGTGTCACGGTCCGTATCAAACCATAACGAAACTGCTGTAAAATTTTACCACCGTGTCGTGTGCCATCTAAAAGAAAAGCTAACAACTGATCGATAACCAGAGGACAATCCGGAAAATATTTAATTATATCAAAAATGGAGTAAACACAGCATACTTAGCGCCGTTTGGAAAGAAAAGCGTCCGACGTGAAAATTCCATGTTAAATGATTTTCAGTTTAATACGTAAATGCATAAAATTGGGTGACAGCAACTTTGCATGTTTTTTCAAGTATAAAGTGCAGTAGTTAATTTTTTTACACATTGCCTGCGCATGGGTTACGGTCAAAAAAGTTCTTCCTGTCGTACTTCTTTTCCGTTGTCACTTCTCGATGCTTTTTTGGCATAGCCTATTCCATTGCATTAATATCTGTGGTCTGTTTCAATTCGTAATGAGGGTGTTCAACTCGCATCATATGATCGTATAGTGGAACTGTCTGGTCCAAAGTCTCTGTACTTCGAATCCATCGCTCTGTGCTTACGCCTGTCCCTTCGGCAGCAATAATTTTTTTTCCTTTCGTATTGAGGTGTCCTTCTGTAGCAGCATAATTTGGAGGAATAGTTACTGCGGCAATATGCTTCTCGGTCAGCACTGTGTCTTCATCTATCTCTTTCGACTGACTATTTGACCCACGTGCGACCGTCGCTGTATCAGCTTCCAGAAAATCGTTCGAAATCTCGTCGAAAATACCGACAGTTTCTTCAGTGTTGAATTTGCTGGTTTTCTCAGACTTATTCAAGCCATTGTCTGGTCCACTGATAGCTGAATGAATGTCGATATCATCTGGAGTAAATCCTGCAATAGAAGATGAAACATCGCTAACAAGAATCATTTTTACTGAATACCGTCAGAGGTTGACGCGGGGGGTACCACATTTATGTCTTTCCCTTCTACTATCGTTTCAAGCTTTCCATAATAGCTTCGATTACGCAATGGCATAGATCACATATTTTTAGGAGTTGGATAATTTCTCCCAAAAACGGATAGCAAATGTTCCACATGTGGGAGGAAAGAAAAGGGTTTGAATTCAAGTGCCTTTTCTTCCGCCAGTGAATAAGGGAAGAATAGAAACGGCAAAAAGTGCATATGCTGAATCACCGGTGATCTTATAGGCGCTACGCCCGATTGCGGTATCCCTACTAACAGGGGGATTTGTTGTTGAAATGAATACTCCGGAATTTTATTTATGCGGAGAATCTCCTTAATATGATTAGGATAATGAAAACTTCCATAAATGCTACGGGAGCCTGATGTTTGCGTTTCAGAAGAGCCCAGAAATGGTTCAACAAGCGGAAAGCCGTCACGGATCGGTCCAGATGGAATCCTAGAGACTAAATTTTGATGAAATTCAGATGTCCGTGGCACTTCATAATAAGGATGTAGATAGGAAATCGCCGGTCGATAATATGTTTCAGGTATTTTTCTTCTATACGAAACCGTCTTTGAGATTCTGTGATTAGCAGGATAATTTTGAGGACTACGGTAAGAATTTAGCACACTGTGCGGCCCTAACAAACGGTCGATCATGTCATCATCATAATCATCGAGGAAACTTCCATCTGGAGAGTTGTTGTCGTTGAGCACATTCGGAACTCTGCTCCGTCTGTAACGTGTCAAATCCAGGCCCTCCAAGTAATCCAGAGTATCATTCAAATAGTCATTGTATTCATCATCGTCAAATGTTGCGTGTTCTTTGACGTGTTCGTGGTCGTCAGCCTCATCAGTATCATGGAAGTTCACTCGTAATGAAAACTTGTGGTCAGCAATTCGTTGTTGATTTTGCATGCTGGATGCGGCATCGACGTTAAGCAAAGTGGAGAGCTTATTTCCGCCCACATACTGCCCGTCTGTAACCAGCAGTGGAAAATTCTGCTGTCGTGGAGTTCTCGGAATGGAACTGGGATTCTGCGAAACTGGTTCCGATGTTTTCTGATCAGTATGTAACTTCAGGTAGGCGAGTGGAGGCCGAGATCGTTCGTTAAGTTTGTCAAGTGCTGGGAAAAAGTGGTTTCGCAGCAGCTTTGGCGACCAAAACCCTTTTTGATGCGCATTGAGGTGGACATTATTTATCGTTCGGGCCAAGCCTAAAACAGGTAATTGTAAATGCTGAAATTCGATTTATTTATTTCACTTTATTGAATTTTTTGTCAGTTTACCCCGATCCGAATGGTAGAACGTAAGATCAGGGAAATGACCGGTGGAGCCTTTTAAACGAAGTTCAAAGAACATCATCGGGTGCTACGCAAGTGCGAAATGGCTCATCAATAAAATGCTTCATCTGCTACCTAACTTGAGTTCGACGTTTATATTCCGAGTACATGGATGGAAGGTTAAGTGCTTTCTGCCGTGCAAATCTCATTTTCGCAACATACAATGCAGCAACCATGGCTTCATTTGTTCCAACGACCTTGGCAGTGTATATTCTCTGGCGCAAGCGTCTGTTGCATAAGAATGTAGTGCAACTGAAAAGCCATAATAGTTTCAGAGAGTAGACCTCGTGATCAAATGATTTCCTCATTTTCTCTCCCGCAAAGCATTACCTGCAGAAGTCTCATGCCTTCTGCTCTTTACATAAAAAGATTTCTTTCACTACAGCTTCTGATTCCAAGCATTAAGCAATCTGTAACTGCCGCTCTTTTGAGATACTGGACGATCGTTGTCGGTTGATGACGGCTTTCGCCATTATCGTAGACTTTTAGAGAAGCACAGTTTGCCATGTTCTGACCCATTTTCAAGAAGTGAACACCGACGCTGAACTTCCAAAATATGCCTAGTGGTGATAATGCAGAGAAATCCTAACGATATCACAAACGACTGAACTGGTTTTAGCTCGGAAATATTCTGATCATAGAAAAATACTTTAGACGATGGTTCATTCTGACAATCCTGGCAGTCTGAACCAATACGTCAAAATAACGGTGCATATCTGCTCGCACAAACTATACAGACATTTCTTCGATCCGTTCATGGTGCATATTACTTGAGGGATCACATCCATCTTCAGAGTCGATATTCATGTCTACCCGATTGTTTCGGCCCTTCGTGTATGATGATCCTTTCGTGTAAACCTGCTGAGTTTCTGTCCGAAACATTGCCCACGCCGAGAAAGGAAAGGAGCCGCCATAAAACGTTTTCTCCACGACAGTTGCTGATTTACATCAATCTAGCAAATCTGAAACTAGTAAGGCCACTAAGTGCCACTAGCACGTCACTTACTCAGTTTATCTCGCAACACACGCAAGTTTTTAATGCGAAACGATAGTTCAGCAATTACAGTCGTTCAGAAAGTAACGAATAGTTATCTACATCCAAGCAGAAACTGTTCAGTGGGGTCAGATAGAAACCTTGTCGTTTCCATACTCGTTAAAAACTCATTCCACTGCTTTCGCGCGCTGACCAATTCTGGGTTGTTTCTTGTAAAGGTTTCAATAAGTAAACTCATAACTAAACCCCGCTATTGCCGGTCCCAAGCCCGGATGACAGACGAGGAGGGTTAGACACCGTGGCAAGTCTCCGTAAAATTCAGCCACCTGCCACTCATGGTATTGACGCCTTCGAAAATTATA